CCTTCTCATTAAACTTCTGGGCTTTATTTATTTTTTTTAATATGACCATTACATATTACACAAAAATAAAAGTCAAATGAACTTGGTATTTATAAATTATTAAATAAAAATACAGGAATATATATTTATATTTATAGAGCTTTTTCTTTTCTTCTAAACTAACCAAATCTGTTCTCCCGCCATTTTATGATTTAAAAAAGTAAAATAGTATATACCCTAGAATAAGTGGGGAGTGGGATTAATAATTGCAGGACCTAGTTGCCCTACTTCTGCTCCTTCCTTGGCCTAAGCAAAGTCCCTATTTGTCCCTTTGGGCTCTGGAAAGCGAGAAACGCCCTCTCCACGTATTTAATCTCTGAAAAATGGCAATTAGATTTATTTCCCTTATTTTTTAAAAAAATGAAATAGATTTAAAAATTGGGAGCCATACTCAGCCTTCCTGGCCAAGAGCTAATCCCAAGGAACTATATGGCTCTAGAAGAGTCTCTAGTTTTCCCTGACAGAAGAGTCTCTGGGGTTTCCATTGCCCCTCAAGCTAAAAAGGACAGGACAGATCAAAACTGCCCACTATGGTCCCAAGCAAGCTATGCTTCTGGGAATCCAAGCCCTTTCCCCTTTCAGAAAACAACCTCTCCTTCCACCCAGGTGTGAAGGCCTCAGAGCAGAGCATTTCGGTTACCTGACCATGGTCCCTGCTGCTCTGGTTTGCTAAAGGCCCCCAAGAGAGCTAACAGGGATAGGCGTCCTGTGGTAGAAGGGGGGGGTGAAGAGTCTGCCCCAAACCTGGGGGAGCGCGGGCTCCAATTTGGAGCTGATGGTCTAGTCAGTGGTTTTTCCAACATTTGTTTTTTTCTTTTCAGCAGCAAACCCCTTAATGCAAATAAAATCTTACCCTGAACCCCGATATGTAAGACAGCTACAAGGGGAGCTATTCTGTTTAAGGATGTGTAGCCCAGTCTGCTTAGCACCCCCTCTTCACCTCCCCAAGGACTCCTGAGGCAAGCCCTAGGAAACTTCAGGGCTCTGCCAAGCAGTCTGAAAACCACTGGTCTAGTTTGTCCTGAGCGAGTCAGAGACCCCCACCCCCAACTTCTTGCCACAGACCAGCTCTGAGTTTCTGGTATCAGCATACTTACAACAGACCAAGTGGCACATGCAGTCTACCACCTCCCCTATAAATACCATTAAAAAGTGCAGCCCTCTCTCAAAAGCAAAAGTCTGGGCTAAACACCTGAGGCCAATTTTGGTCCCACATTCTTGTGAGTACAACTATGTTGCCACATTCTGGGACCAAATGAAAATCTCCAAGAAGAGTCAACCATGGTCTAGCTAAGCTGATCAGTGCTCAGGATCGAGGGCAGGGTTCTAGAGCACTGTGTCTGAAGTCAGCACTGGAGAGCAGCAACTTGAGCACCTCGGGAAGTGCAGCAGTGAGGTCTGGCTCAGGACGTGCATCTGTAGTGAAATCATTTCTCTCTCGAAAGAAAAAGCTATAATCTGAATCTGTTCTAGAGGACTGTGAGCTCTAAAGTTAATGTCCGCAGACTCTGAGGTACAGACAAGTAACACCCATGCAAAGAAAATACAAATGCTTCTAGGTCGTGGTAGGTACTCTAGAACCCATACACCTGGCCCTCGATAAAGCAGCACCAAAGCCCACCACATGGACTAGGCCAGTCACGGAGTACAGGTCACCCTCACACCCATGGGGTTCAGAGCTGGAATGTTGCTCTCAGCAGTCTCACTGAGACACAGTGCAGGACCCAGACTGTACTCTAGATCAACATTTACCTCCACACACTCCAAAGGAAAATCAGAGTCCCAATTTAGAGTTTAAGTTTGGGTACAGAAGGTCCCAGAGACAGGGAACACTTTAGGCACCAGTGTGCCCCAGTGGGAGAGGAGGGTGGCACGTAGGTCCAGCCCCTCCCCACCACCCGCCCGCTGCAGCCCCCGCAGCCCTGTTTTTGTTCAGAGTCCAGGAGGCAGCAGCAAGTATGATGCACAAGGAATGGGGATGGTGAAGCAACAAGGCCAGCTACAGAACTTCTCTTCTCTCCAAAGCCCTGCTAATGACTTTCTGCCCAAAGTGCCCAAAGCCCTCTTCTGGATACAGTGTTTCTCCCACAGCCTTGAGGCATCAGGACAAGGAGAGGGGGGAGGAGAGGGTTGGGAGGAGGGGCAGAGAACTGGCCCTTGTTCTTGCCAGTCCAACAGGGAAGTTTTCTCCTTGAATACGGCCACCAGCAGGTTAGACAAGCAGCCCAGCATGCACACGAGCATGCGTGCACATGCACACGCGTGTCCAAGCAGCCCACCATCACAGCCACCTCTCCCTATCACCCGAGAACCTCAAGCTTCCATTTCAAAGGGTTGTGCCTTCTATGTTTTCCCCAAATCTCACTCATCCAAAGGAGACACAACCCCTTATGCAAGTCAACCTCCCTCAGGGCTATAAATTAAGCTCTAGGTATAGTTTTGTGTGCCTACACCTATAGACATGACCTCTCCCACCTCCTCCCAACCCTGGAATGACTTCATCTCCTGGCCCCCAAATACTTTCCAAATACATTCCCTAATGTCTCCAGCTCATCCTTCCAACTGCCTGCCTGGCACACACAGCTCCTTCACACAGTACCCTGCCCCTTCCCATCCCCGTTCCATGCCCATCCATTCACCCCACTTCTTCCAAGGGCATTTCTCTTGTTCTGTTCCTGCTCTCCTGTCCCCCAGCCACACCTAGCCCCACCTGGCCCTGGATTTTCTCACTTGCTAGCAAAAAAGGCCCCTACAGTTACCAGGGCCCCCAGTGCCACGGCCCCTGTCAGCACTGTCCTCACTGAGGCCCAGTTCCCCTCCCGCAGACGCCGCGCCTCCTCCAGGGCCCCGTCCCCGTATAGAGCTGTGAACTCCGCCTGTGGGAGAGAAGGGAAGTAGGAGAGAAAGAAGGAGAAAGGGATATCAGGAGAGGAAAGAGTGGAGGAAAGAGGAGAGGAAGAGTTCCAGTTCCATCCACTGCAAGCACTACCCCATACCCAGCTCCTCTCCAGCCAAAGCTCTACTGGCTGCAAGCCCCCATCATCCCCCATGAGCGCCTGGCTCATTTGCCCTCTCTGCCTCAAGTGAATCCCAGCCTCTCCCTGGCCAAAATTTTTGCTCAGAACTGGCATCCTTTGCCAAGGCTTTCCTGACCACCACCCATCGCTGACACCCCCCGCCCATGTCACCTACTCGGGTGTAAAAAGTTCCCGACAGCTGGATGCCATTTCCCTGCAGGCACTGTGTATTCTGTCCTCTGCTTTGGACCATGAGCCCATCCAGTGATAACTGCATGGCAGCCCTGGAGTGCAGAGTCCAGCGCGACACCCAGAGTGAGGGCATCTGATTCCACCCAAATAGGGAGACTCAGCCCCCAGCCTCCAGCCAGAGCCCCCATCTTCCCTCTGGAGACGAGCTTTGCAGAGGGGTGTGCAGAGCAGCAATTGAGAAGCTCCTTACCCAGCCCCCACTGCTGTGGATCCAGTCGGCCAGCCGTGTCTCCAGGTAGGCCACCATCCACTCTTGCACTTGTCCCACAAGTGGCTCCATCTCTTTGTTGACACTCTCAGCACACAGTGCAGCTCCAAAGACAAAGAAGGCCACAAGGCGGCCCCAGTTGGGGCCCCCTTGGAAGAGTTCATCAGAGACCTGGGTGAAGCGTTGCTGGGCTGAGCCTGGGGTCACATGCAGCTGGGCTGCCAAATCAGAGAAGGTGCGCCGGAAGCGGGTCTCAAACTCATCTCCAGCTGCCCGCATGGCTTGGTGCAGTGGGTCAGCTGCTGGGCCCTCCCCAGGGCCAGCTCCACAAACATAACCCTTCTGCCTCAGCTTATAGCCTACAAAGTCTGCCACTAGAGCCCGTGTGTCTGGGGCTGAGGCTGGGGTCGCCATCCGGGCGGCTGTAAGAGTCAAGGATGAAAGACTGGCATGAATATATGGTCAGAGAGCCAGAAGGGGTACTTCAGGCTTGGCCAGCCCAGTGAGACAGGGAGAGAGGTGGGAGGAAATGCTCAGAGACCACTGGGCAGGGAGGGGCAAGAACACGGGAATTAAGTCAAGGTGAGAGGCCCAGGGCATGAGGGGCTGGCCATTAAATTCGTAATATGCCACACTAAATGCATAACAAGTAAATTTTATTTTTAAAGTACTTTAGATTCTTTCCATAATAGAATACTAGCTCTTTAACACCCCCTACACCCCCCCTTTCCACAGTACAGACCTTTTTGGCTAAAGGAAGGGGCTTAGTACCTCCCCAGAGGGAAGATGTAAAGATGCTGGCAGAGGCACAAGATGGGGGGAGGAGACAGGGGCTGAAGGGAAAGGTGGGAGAAGCAAAGGGCTGCCCAGAACAGAGAAGGAAGGGGACACTCACCCAGCCTGGATGGCAGCTCTTAGGACCCAGCGCTGGTGGCAAGGAGCCCCCAGCTGGGGCCTTTCATCCTCCTGGCCAGCGTGGAGCCCTGGGAAGGGGAGGGGGAGAGCAGAGCTAGGCGGGGAAGGCCAGGGATCAGGGTCTGGACTGAGAAGGCTGGGGTTGCAGCTCCCCGGACCGGCCCCTGCCCCCAACTACCAGCTGTGTGGCCGAATCCATGTTTAATGACTGTCCTCCCGGGAAACCCAGGGCCAAGGGCTTCCTGCCGACACCATCTCTACTCCCGGCTCCCCCCCAGTGCAGTCCAAGAGCCCAACTCTTCCTTCACCCCCACCCTCAGCAAGTCTCCAACCCCGCCTGCCTGCCAGGTTAGGGATCTCACGGGTCAGGCCGCTGCCAGGATCCGGGCCGTTTCCTGGTGCAGGAGCTGGGAGGGAGGGAGAGAGGGAGGAAGGGAAGGAAGGAAGGAGGGAGGAGAAAGGGGGGGGCGGGAGGGAGGGCCTGGCGCCGGGTGATGATGGGGCCCAGAGATGCGTCCAGAGAGAGGGGCGGGGCTGGGAAGCAAGCTTGGGAAGGGCCACAACTCCGGAAGAGAGGGCCGCTGGAAGCCAAGAAGAGCGGGCCGGAGAGAACACAGAGGGCCAGGCTGGGCTCCTGAGCCTGAAGCCTGCCCAGAGAAGCCGGCTAGGCCTCAGGAAACCTCGGAGCAAATTCACCATTTCCAGAAGGTCTCTGATGTTCCCATGCACTTGTTGAATTTTTCCAGCCCTGGAGTGGATGCCTGCATTAGAGGAGCAGTTCCCATTGCAGTGGGAACTGCCTGCCAGGTGCCTCGCCCCGTGGGACTGGCAGACACGACACAGACACTGAACATTTTACTCCCTCTTTTTCTCCAGGACCTTTAACCCAATAGTCTCTTTGTGGGCTGGGGCTTTAGCCGGGCATCAAGACTTGGATCGCAAGTAATTTCTGCAGGTAACTTTTCTTTACCTTCTTTCATTTTTTTGGTAATTACATTGGTTTCCTTTTTAATTCTTTTCACTCAACACATGAACTTATTCTCCTTATGACAAGTTCAAACAATATAGAGATCTAAGGGGAAAAAAATACAAGTCCTCAATCTCCCTCCTCTCACTCCTTGCCCAATTCCACCTCCCTTTCTGGAGGTTGCCAATGTCAAGGTCGATGTTTACCCTTTCAGATTTTTTATATACGTGTGTGTATGTGTGTGTGTATGTGTACAGACACATACATATATGTATGCCTATTATTTATGCACGGCAGTATATTTACACAGGGCGGTTCACAGGATGTGAAGCAATGCGACCACAGGTGATCCTCAGGAGGGCTCTCTCAGGCATTCTGACTGGGCCTCACTGGCTCTTGCCCTGACACTTCCTTTGGCTCTATTCGGAGGGACCTCCAGCCAAAGGATAGAAAGAGGCAACCCAATTTTCCTTTCCTTTTTTTTTTTTAAGATTTTATTTCTTTCTTTAACAAAGAGAGACACAGCGAGAGAGGGAACACAAGCAAGGGGAATGGGAGAGGGAGAAGCAGGCTTCCCGCGGAGCAGGGAGCCTGACGCGGGGCTCGATCCCAGGACTCTGGGATCATGACCCCAGCTGAAGGCAGACGCTCAATGACTGAGCCACCCAGGCGCCCCCCAATTTTCCTTTCCTGCTGGTTCCCTTTGCTTCCACATCCAGTCCAAGCCTTGATATTCCTAACTGCCCCTACAGTCTCTGGAGAAGAAAGGTCGTTTCTGTAACAGTAATAGTAACAACTAATACATTTTAAGGACTTATTGGGCACTAGGTGCTTTCTTTACATGCATGATATTTATCCTCACACCAATCCCTATGCTGCCTTATTCTCATTCTATAGAGGAAGAGAGTGAGGCTTGGAGAGGTTACTTACCCGAAGCCATACTTAGAAACTGGTACTCAATTTTGTCTGACTGTAAAGTTTGTCTTAACTTTAAGTGCATTGTTATAAGTTCATCTCTCTGCTTCAGGTAATCTATGTTATCATACCACTGACAAGTCCAAACTCAGTTATCCCCTCCATATCCCCCCTATTTAGCCAGGAATCATTTTTATTTTTTATTTTTATTTTTTAAAGATTTTATTTATTTATCTGTCAGCAGATTCCACATATTTATGACTGTATCCTTTCAACCATCCTCCTTACTTCTTTGCTCTTGGGATGATCATTACAGCTGCCACCAGCAAGGCTGCCTTCTTCTTCAGAGAATAACCTAGTCCAATCCTTCATTTGCAATCCTGATTTCTTCTAAGACACTTACTTGAAATAACAACACTTTTAGGTCTCAGAATCCAAATATATTTCTGTCTGCCCTCCCATTTATTTATAAACCCTGGGAGAGCAGGAACAGAATTTTATTCACTGTTATGTCCTTCAGGCCTAATAGACCCTCAGTAATGTTGATTGAACAAATCATTCAACTCCCCTGGCCAGTTATTGAGCAGGCCCACTCCACTGTTTGAAGGTAACTATAGTGGCTATTTAAGAAACAAAGACTGAACTATAAAGAGAGAAAAGAAAAAGAGAAGAAACAAACATTGATTTGGAATAAAGGTTCAATGTCAGTCTGAGCAGCCAGAATAGAGCTGCTAGACCAACACAAATTATACCTGGTCCAAAGCTGTGTACCTCAAGGATCTTCTCAGACCAACACCATGGAGCCAAGGAATGGCAGTTCAAACTATAGACAAAGCACACTTGTTTTTATCAGAAAACCTCAGGCCATATAGGCCCACTTTGAACCTTATCTATTACTTCAATTATATATATATAAATATTTATTTCAATTGAAATATATATATATTAAAGATTTTATTTATTTGAGAGAGAGAGAGCACGAGCTGGGGAGGACAGAGGGAGAAGAAGACTCCTTGCTGAGCAGGGAGTCTGATGTGGGGCTGGATCCCAGGACCCTGGGACCATGACCTGAGCCAAAGGCAGATGCTTAACCAACTGAGCCACCCAGATGCCCCTCAATGATATATTTTACAAGAGCAAGGAAGATAGTTTTAAAATGCTTGACTGTAACACAAATTAGTAACATTATTTTACATCCTAAGATAGGAAAAGAGTATGTCCAGGGATTATATATACATGTATAAAATCAGAAAACTCAGTATCACTTTAAAAATGATTCCTAGGGGCGCTGGGTGGCTCAGTTGTTAAGCGTCTGCCTTTGGCTCCGGTCATGATCTCAGGGTCCTGGGATCGAGCCCTGCATCGGGTTCCCGGGTTCCCTGCTCGGCGGGAAGCCTGCTTCTCCCTCTCCCACTTCCCCTGCTTGTGTTCCCTCTCTCGCTGTGTCTCTCTCTGTCAGATAAATAAATAAAATCTTTAAAAAATAAAAATAAAAAATAAAAATGATTCCTGGCTAAATAGCATTGCTAAGGTTAATTCGGAGTTAAAATGCAAACAAGAATGACTTGTATAATAAGATAGTATGTGTCTCACTGTTTATTTCCAACTTAGTCCAACTTGTGATTTTACAGTTAAACTATTGTGCTGTTTTAAATTTAGAGATTCCAGGGGTACCTGGGTGGCTCAGTCGTTAAGCGTCTGCCTTCGGCTCAGGTCATGATCCCAGGGTTCTGGGATCGAGCCCCACATCGGGCTCCCTGCTCAGCGGGAAGCCTGCTTCTCCCTCTCCCACTCCCCCTGCTTGTGTTCCTTCTCTCGCTTTGTCTCTCTCTGTCAAATAAATAAATAAAATCTTAAAAAAAAAAAAAAGATTCCTCATTACAATACTCTGAAGATGTTAACTATTACTACTAAACGTTTTAATCTTACATAACCAAGTGGGTAAGAGTGGGCTCTAGCGCTGGACTGCTGATGTTCTAATCCCAGCTCCTCAATCATTGCCTCTGTGACCCTGGGCAAGACTCCTAGCCCCTCTCTCAAATTTCTCATCTGTAAAATAGGCATACTAGTACTTCCTACTCTTTTGATGGCTATTTATAGGAGTTAATATTTGTAATATTCTTACAAGTGTACCTAGTACATTGTAAGTGTTATACAAAATCAGTAGGGGATTTAGGAAGAAAAAAAAAACTACACAAAATACTTCACTTTTTTTTCCCCTAATGTAGAACAAAATGAAGGAGAAAAAAGCCAGCTCTGTGCCCCTGTTGGAAGCTCCCAGTGGAACTAGAACTCCACAGTCCCAGCTCCAAGAGAGTCATGTGTTCATTCATTCAATAATTTGAGAGCCTACTATGTGCTGAAACTGTGAATCAGACACAGCCTCTGCCCTCAAAGGACTTGCAGTGGAGTTAGAGATCAGAACTCTAATCTACTTTTTCACAGATGAGAAGACTGAGGTCCAGAGAAGTTATGCCATGCTTAAGGCCACACTGCAAAATACTACCAGAAGTGAGACCAGAGCTGTCTTCCCACAACTCAGTTCAGATTTGGCTAAGATCAAGTGCAGAACTCTTTCCCAATGGACCACCCACCCTTTTGAGGGCCACATCTCAGCTTCTATTTGAGACACTACCTAGTTTTCATGACCTTTCCTTCTGTGCACCCTCTGCAACCCCCCTCCAAAACCTGGAGCCTAGGGTTTGGAAAAGAAAATGGTGAGCCCTGAAGAGAAACTCACACGCTGGGCATTTTGAACCATCCTCTGAAAGAAAAGGAAATGTGACTTTATCCTCCCTTAAGCATTAACTCTTCCTATGACCGAGAGGTTGAAGCCGTTAAAAACAAAACAAAAAGCCTGAGTGGTCTCACTCAGGACCGGAAGGTGGATCCCCGCCCCCTGGTACTCTGCTAAGACAGATGGGGAACCACCTGTCAGAGGACTGTGGGCGGGGGCCCGGCCGAGAGGGCCCCGGGACCGGAGGGTGAGCGCCGCTGAGCGCACGCTCAGAGCAGACAGCTTGCAGGAGGCAGGAGATGATGGTCTAAAACCCTGAGAGCTGACGGTCAGAGCGGGGGGGGGGGGGGGGAAGGTAGTCACGGAGGGGAGACAGCTACAGGAGGTGGAGAATCCTGGAGGTGACAGCAAGGAGAGTACGCAACCGCGAGGGGCGGCTTCTGCGCCGACGCCGGGCGGTCGGGCGAGAGGAAAGCAGGGCAACGCTGCGCCGCTGCGGGCGGGCCCCGCCCGGGCGGGGGGTGCCATGTCTCGAGAGCGGCCCCCCCGCACCGACATTCCCCGCAACCTGAGCTTCATAGCCGCACTAACAGAGCGTGCCTACTACCGCAGCCAGCGGCCCAGCCTCGAGGAAGAGCCGGAGGTGGAGCCAGGCGAGGGTGGGACGCGCCTTGGGGCCCGATCCCGCGCTCACGCTCCGAGTCGGGGTCGCCGGGCCCTTTCTGCGCCCGCCGGAGGCGGCGGGGTCCGGGCGCCCCGCAGCCCCGACACCCGCAAGAGAGTGCGTTTCGCCGACGCGCTTGGGCTGGAGCTGGCCGCGGTGCGCCGCTTCCGCCCGGGAGAGCTGCCCCGGGTGCCCCGCCACGTGCAAGTCCAGCTGCAGAGAGACGCCCTCCGCCACTTCGCGCCGTGCCAGCCTCGCGCCCGCGGCCTCCAGGTAGGCAGGCGGCAGCGGCACGCCCCTTTCCCGGGACCTCCCCGACCCGGCCGCCGTGGGCGTGTGGGAGAGGATTTATCAAGCAACACCTATCTCCATCCCCAACCCTAGACTTATCCTTGCTCATTCCTTTTGGGGCCACTCTCTCAGCTGGGCTCCACTCCGACTGCCCCCCGCCGGGGTTGGCCTCGGCTTGGTCCAGTGCCTCTCCCTGACCCCGCCCCCGTCTCTCCTCTCCTCCCCCTTCCCCCAGGAGGCGCGCGCCGCCCTGGAGCCGGCCAACGAGCCTGGCTTCGCCACCCGCTTGCAGGCGCAGCGCATCTGCCTGGAACGCGCCGAGGCGGGCCCGCTGGGCGTGGCCGGGAGCGCGCGCGTGCTGGACCTGGCCTACGAGAAGCGCGTGAGCGTGCGCTGGAGCGCCGACGGCTGGCGGAGCCAACGCGAGGCACCCGCCTCCTACGCCGGCCCGGCCCCGCCCCCGCCGCGCGCAGACCGCTTCGCCTTCCGCCTTCCGGCGCCACCCATTGGGGGCGCCTTGCTTTTCGCCTTGCGCTACCGCGTGACCGGCCACGAGTTCTGGGACAACAACGGCGGCCGTGACTATGCTCTACGCGGGCCCGAGCACCCCGGGAGTGGCGGGGCCCCGGAGCCCCAAGGCTGGATCCACTTTATCTGAGACGCCTGGGCCGACGGCGGGAAAACCAAAGGCACCCAGGGGCTGGGGGAGCCCGAAGATTTGGCGGGGAGGAATGAGAGAAACCGAGATTGGCTGGGAGCTGTCCAAGAGAGTCAAGTGGGGGAGGGCGAGGAGAATGGGAAAAATCAAAGGGGTGTGGGGAGTGGGCGGAATGAACGAAGGTCGGGGAGATCCGGGTGGAAAAACAGTAGTTGGATGTGAGTGATAGGAACCCAAGGCATAGAAGAAAGGAAACCAGAAAGGGCGCTGGAAGGATTAGAAAAAAGCAAAAGACGGGTTTGATGGTGATGTCCTATACCGTGAGCTAGTACTGGGAGAAAGTTAGTGGGTTCGTCAGACCTAGGCATTTGAAGGTTAGGGTACCTCTTTGAGATAGAGAAGGTATTTTGTTGAAGTAGGAGCCCACCCTACTGAGTAATTTGTATTGCCAGCTCATTCCCTCTTCTTACCCGCCGTTGCCTCCTCAGGTCCCCCAGTCCTGCCCATCCTAGCTTTATACTCAGCCATAATTGCCTTGCTTAAGTCCCAGGAACTTGGCTGTTCCTCCCCAGCCCCTGGCATTATGACAGGATTCTCTTGTCATTCCCGACGATCCCTGGCTTCATTTTCCCCTGACTGGCTGGGGAGTGATGGCAGACTGCCATCAGAGCTCCTCCCTCCTCCTCCAGGCAGCCCTGGGGATTAAAATAAAGACAAAAGCAACTCCAGGCCTGTCCTTGTAGCCAAATAATGTGCCTGAGGAGTTGGTACACTCAGGGGCTTCCAGAAAAATGCCAGCCTTACCTTTCTGGGGTGCCTTTTAATGACCTCTAAGCACTTTACGCACTGTGTTTGTCAGGAACAGTGAATCACAAAAATCACTATCATGATTCTGCCTCAGAAGGAAAGAGTCACTGACTAGCTGTATTACTTTGGGTAAAGTTACTTCACCTCTCTGGGCCCCAGTCTTCTCCTTGGGAAATTAGATTTTGACTAGGTGATCTGTCACAGGCTCTTACTTTAACATTTTATGATCCATGAGTGGCAGAGTGTAGATTAGAAGCCACATTCTCCAACATACAGTTGGGAGTGCTACAGTTCAGAACATACAGCACTCCCAGCATTTGGTTGGGGCTGAGGATGGGTCCTCCAGTTTTTGATACAGATATTCCAGAGCCCAGGAAGCATCCCATAACCAGCTTGCAGCCTGATGGTATTCCAGGGCCTTTTTCAAACTGCAGCTCATCCTCTGCCCAGTGCTTTTTGCCTTTGCCTGCACAGACTTCCAGACTTTGAGACAATTTTGGGCAGGTGCATCTCTGTTGGGGAAAATGATGTTTGGGAGCCCCAGAGATGAAACAATGTTGAGGCTCTTTTGAGGATAAAGGATTATGGATATAAGAAATGGAAAACATTTCAAATCAAGAATCAAAGCCACTTAGTAATTAAATGGCACCAGAAGATGGCAGTCTGTTCCATACCCTGAGCAAGTGAAATGGGAAAGCTGGACTCTTCTACCCATTCACAATCATGCCTTAGGTCTCCCTAGTTAACCTCTGCTAGTAGTTTTTCCTTTCCTCTTACCCTATTCCTAAGCTCTTTGCTTTTTTCTTTCCTTGTCCCTCTCTCTCATCACTTTGATTTTTCTTTTAGCATATAGGGTATTTACCTTCATTTTCTCTTTTCCATTTGCCTCCATCTTCATCCTTGTTGATTTCTGCTATTCCTTCTCCCTCCAGAAGGGGTGGAGAACCTACTTCCTTTTCTCCAAGACCATGGTTGATCCACCTTCCTCCCTCAGGCTCCTTCTTGACAGTCTTCTAGAAGGGAGAAGAGGGAAAAGAAGCAGTTCCTGATGCAGATGAACAGCTGCTCCCAGGTAACCAGCTCCCCACACTCTTTTCTACCTGTTACTAGTTTCTCAAAAATGTCTGAATCCTCCTCTTCCTTATTACTGAGTCAGAGAGTGCATGCACATGTGCCCATACATGCATTCAGAACAGAGTATGGAGTGTGTTACCAGGCCCCTCCTATCCAAAGCCTTAGTCCTTTAAAGGAAGATGGCCGAAAAGAGAGGAACCCCGAGTCACTCCTCAAAGAAATGCCGGTTTAAACATCATCCTTATGTGATGAAGAAAACAAAGAATTTCATGTATCTTGTGGATCACCTTCAGGTCAAAGTTCCAGCAGAGTGAAGAAAGAACCTCCTGGAAGCCACCAAGCAATGCGCTTTTTAGTCATCAATGAAGAGCCCAAGGGAGGATGATGGAGAGGGAGCCTGGGTCGAGGCTCAGTATATACTAATCTCTTGCCTAATGTGTATGCACTATTGTCATGTTGTATTAACAATCATAATAGCTCACATTTACTTATCCACTCAAATTTGGTGTCTTGCATGCATTACAATCCTCAGAACAACCCAATCAGTTGAGAAATACTATCCCTGTTTTAGAGATGAGGAAACAGCTCAGAAAAGCATAGTAATTTGTTCAAGATCACATCACTGGTAAATGGCATTGCTAGGATTGTGAACTCAGGCTCTCCAGAGCTTCTGTATATAACCATGTTACTATATTTTTTCATTTAAAAACAAAACTGAAAACTTTACCATATATAATCTCTTATTAGGAGGAGACCACAGTTTCTAACTGCTCCGCCTTCCCATCCTCGCAGATTACTGAACTGGCTTAGAGAAGGCAAAGTGCTGTGGGTCCCACACTCCCATGCAGGAGCTTGCTGCTCTCTCCTGTACCAGTGTCCCAGCTCTGCAGAAGTAGCAAGGGACCACACTGCCTGCCTGCTAGAGAACTTGGGAACCCATTTGAACTCCAGCTTTTCCTTACATTGGGATTCTCTCCTGGCCTAAATAACATTCTACACCTGTTGGTGTGACACCCCTTTCCACTCCCCTGACTGGTCTTGAACTGACCAGTCCTTAAAGTCTCCACTAAAAGGTATCCCTGACTAGGACAACTGTTGAATGATCTGTGCTTGGGCCCTCTCTGCAAGCCCTGGTATTACTGAGTGGATATGTAAACTGGTTGGAGACAGGGAACCAAGGATAATCCGTTTTTCCCTGAGCTTTCTCTGTAAGAAGTACTATGGCTCACTCACCCCCCACCTCCCATTCTCAGCTTTATAGAACCAACACCTGAATCTTCTAGTTCTTCCCATAAAGAGCTGCCCCAGGGCCTGGGGGTAAGCTGATCTAATCTGATATGGGGAACACTAGAAGTTTGGTGGAATTTTTAGAGAGGTGTTAGGTGTTAGGCATTGGGATGGGTCCTTTCCCCCTGAAGGCTGATGACTATATGAACAGGAGCAATTTAGTGTATAACAGGTCAGCTGTGGACTAGGCAGCACTAGAAGAGAAAACATTGCCTTGATCAGGGGCTTGGGTCCTTGAAGTCACACAGCTGGAACACTTTTGCCCGGTTTTCCTACACTTACCTGTCTGACAGCCTTCCTCTCGTATCTTTGTTTCTCTTTATGCATGTAGCTCATTTCTCTTCACAATAAGCCCTAACTCCTAAACTTTCCAATCGAACTCCCACATTCCCTTGCTTTTAACACCTGCCTTTCTCTGGAGCTCCTCTGGATCCTTGCAATCTGCAAGATCATAGAATCAGAGACCTGGAAAAGCTTGTCTTTAGACATCACTGGGTCCATTCTCCAGTACAAATGAGGACACAGGTCCAGAGATGGGGAGACTTCAGCAGGGTCAGAGAATTTGTTAGTACAGCTCGAGATGGGGCTTAACCCCAGCCCTCCTGACCATATCCCACTCCCAGGCTACAAAACGGGCCTCTACAGTCAGACCCGCAATTTTTCATGGCAAGCAATAATATCATAAATGTTTCATTTTCTGTTGCTAGTTTCTATTCCCTTCCTTATCCAGGCATAGAAAGAAACAAAAGGCACTTGTAGTTTTCTCTGTGTTCCCAGCCTTGGTACTTCTTTGGGTGATATTGCTAAGGAACAGTGAAGTTGCTAAAAAGACTGAATAATCCACCTATTGACTAGTTAACCTGGAGAGGAATTAAAAGTTTGCTATGTGAATCCCCCCAAACCACTGTTCTCATCAGGCCCTCCCAGAGCGTCCTCACCCTCTTCACAGTGCAGCCCTGTTCACTGGGCCCCAAACCCACTAGAATTGTGCCTCACTTCAGCTTCCTCATGCAGCTGCCCTCCCTTCTGGATAAAAGACCTCATATTTGAAATAAAGTCGAAATATGAAAGTATATAATAAAATACTGAGAAATATTATTTATTTGGGGTGAAGGGTGGCAAGAGACCCAGAAGTGAGATTCTTCTCTCCCACCCCCCGTATCTTGGTTATCTCATAAAAGTTCTGTCTGCTGGTGTCCTATTGCTATGCAAAAGTTGGGTGGGCAAAAGATATGGAGGAGTTGGGCAGCCCTGGTATAAGACACCCCAATAGAATCCCACCACCATATTGGGTAGTGGTAGGAAAGTTATCAGGGCCCAGTTTTAGTCCCCTGGCACCCAGCACCAATTCCTGGTGCAGTTAAAGGGTACGGCTTGGGTAAAAGCGCCGAGTTTCCCCCCGGTTGAGGGGGCTCTTTTTCCTTAAGGGGGCCATCTAAGTTACATTCTGCTCCTCAAACACTGAAGGAAAGAACAAAGCCCTTTTCTCTATCAAGGGCAACCCTAAAGCAAAGCTTAGGAAATACGATGAAGAGGAAAAGCAAAGACTTCTGTCTAATCCAGAATGGAGCAAAAGGTATTAAAGTGAGGCATCCTTGAGAAAGATCAAGTTCTAACATAATATTGACTCCCACATCACCTGAACAATGAGAGAATCCAGTTACCCACAAAATAATGAGAACGTTTCTAATAGGGAAGCCCTAGCCTGAGAATAATCAGATGCCTCCTCATTACATCATAATGACCAAGTTGTGATGTCATGGCAGAGCACCCACACTTATGTTGTCAAACTAGATATGCTGAAGGGTAGAGCCAGCATGAGGAGCAGACACCCAAAGAGAGGTAAGTGGGGGCTTCCCAGGGTTTTCTCTGTGGCTTATTGCCTAAGATTCCTCTGTGGCCCTAATGTCTTCCCAGGCTTTTCACACCTTAGTCTAGTGCTAGGTCTGTCTGAAATCCTTCTTCCACAAACTCCACTGCAGCTTTTGCTATCCCAAATCTTTAATAGTTGCAGTTCTGATTGGTCAGTCCTCAGCTTTTGTATTTCTTAGGAGACAGGGCACAGAATGGTGGAGCATGGTTCCTCTAAGTGAGGCAGAAACTCACCATATCCATTTGGGTTGTCCCAAGGGTAGATCCAAGTTTTGGGGCACCTGAAACACAACTGTTGGAGCCTTTTAAAAGAAAAATAAATACATTAGGCACAAAAGTGAAAATAGTTTAGAATGAGAAAAGATAACATTTTTAAGGAGGTGACAAATACTATATCATAAGATCAAGAAAAATAACTTTAAAAATTATCTACTTGACAAGCATTTTTTTTTTTTTTTACAATTTTGTTTTTGGGTGCATGCTCCTTGATTTCTCATCTTGATGATTATGTTTTCTATAAGGAGTACAGAAAAGTAATTCAGCCTTCTACATGATCACTTTTTTTAAAATTCTTAGTGATTTAGAAAATTTTCACCCTCACACTTTATAAGTGATAATGTTACATAATTTTTTTAGGATTTTTGTCAAACTTTAAAAAAACACTATCAAATTTCTTTGATATATGTGTACAATTTCAGAGCATTTCAAATTTGTAATGACGAATATACTCTGGATTGTTGACACTAGGATTAATGTATATGTATTAGTCGGCTAGAGCTGCCGAACAAAATGCAACCCATTGGGTGGCTTAAACCAAAATTCTCTCACAGTTGTGGAGTGTAGAAGTCTGAGATTAATGTATCTGCAGGGTTGACTTAATTCTGAGGTTCCTTTCCTTGGCTTATATAGTCATCTTCTCCCTATGTCTTCCCATGGTCTTTCCTATGTTCATGTCTGGGTCCAAATTTCCTATTATAAAATACCAGTCATATTGGATTAGGACTCATCCTAAAAACCTCATTTTAACCTAATTACCTCTTTATAGAACTTATTTCCAAATACAGTTACATTCTAAGGCATCAGGAGTTAGGACTTTATCATATGAATGTGGGGGGGGGGTGGATGACACAGTTCAGCCCCTAACACTATACTGGCTATTAAACTATTTACAGAAGTAACTGCAAACCACAGTCATATACCTACTCAACCCAAACTAAATGTATCCCCAACTCCATTTCCTTAGCCAATCCCAAAATACCCATGGCCTTCCCACTGCCACCTGACAAAAGGAGAAGTGTGATGGAGGGGAAGTTAGAAAGGAAAGAGACATCAATCTTAGCCAATTGCAGTTTTTTTTTTTTAAGATTTTATTTATTTGAGAGAGAGAGAGACAGATAGTGACAGAGATAGTGAGAGAGACCATAAGCTGGGAGGAGAGGGAGAAGCAGGCTCCCGCCACGCAGAGAGCCTGACATGGGGCTCGATCCCAGCGCCCCGGGATCATGACCTGAGCCGAAGGCAGACACTTAATGACTGAGCCACCCAGGCGCCCCTGCAGTTTAAATATTTTTTTTCAAATTTTACAAAAACCCACGACCATGTTAACACATCCTGGGGCTCCTCCAGTGCTCCTCTGTGCAAGGGATGACCCTGAAACTTCAGTTTCCTTAGGTATACGGTAAATGTGCCTATGGTTAATCCTGCTAATATCTAAGCCATGCAAAGGAAGAGAGAATTTTCACCAAAGATGGGGAATTAACATCTCTACACTGAGGATGACATGATGAGTCTGCATTCTTCAGCACTAGGCCCTGGAAGAACTGGGAAGGTTTGTTGTCTTGCTAAAGGGGGGCCCTCCCTTCTCTGATATTGTCAGCCTGCATCTATTCCTCTCTTCCAATCCCAGTCCAGTCCATCTTTTAAAGCTTTAGGTGAAACCCACACAACCTCTCCCCCTGCTTGTGCGCTCTCTCAAATAAATAAATAAAATCCTAAAAAAAAAAAAAAAAAAAAGGGGGAGGCTTCAGCACACACTCCAGAAAAGGGGCAGATGAGTTTCTTCTTGCCTTGGATTTCCCCTCTCCTAAACCTATCTTCAATTCTGTTCCCTACTCCTGAGTCTCGGGAGTGAGTGTCTTAATGAGACAAGAAAGGTGGCAGAGTTGTCCACCTTTCATATTTCCAAAAGCCGGTGATAAGTGTTGCCCAGAGTGCCTAACTGAACCCTCTATAGAGGGACAGGCACTAGGTTCCCGCAGACATTGTCTGCCTGGCTTTCCAGCCAGATAAGCATGAGTTCTTCCCAGTCAACCCAGTCTTGTCATTTGTTTGGATTATGGGAGAACAACTTCTCCACTGAAAACTGAGGACTGCTGCTGCCTAAAATGTTTCACTTTTCCTTTTATCATATACAAACTATTGGGGCATGGTAATAGTCATTCATGATTTAGGACAAAGTCTGTATACACTACCAGCCCTGGCTTAAACCCTGAGGGATCAGAAGTTTCAACTCTAAAGCTGAGAATATATATATGTATCTTTCCTTTGTTTACACCGATGATGTATTTGCTGGATGCTAGTTTGAAGATCGTAGGGCTGGCTCTTAGGAGGTTGAAATTTTTACTGAATGTAATGGGGCTGGGAAGTGGGCAGGTACAAATGCAGGCATAATAACATAAAATAGGGCTCAGTGCTGAAGTGGAAATACATTTCTGATGTCTGACAACCATGGAAGTGCTCTAGACCTTAAATTGGAGCAAGAAAGAATCCGTAGTGGGGGTTGGTTTGGGGGGGAGTACATGGGAAGGGTGATGTATGTGGAATACAAAGTCTGAAACTGTTTTATAAGTTATTGTAGCTACGTAAACTATTAAGTTACCTAAATAGGCAAAGAGACTTTCAAAGACCAGCATATGAGAACAAAAGAATCACTTCAGAAAGTGCTGTTCCCAAGTTTTAGTCTGAAGACCGAGAATCCTAAATATACAAACTTTTGGCCCAAATTCCAAATATACGAACTTTTGGCCCACAACTTCAGAGTGTGTGACTACTTTGGTGAAAAGTCCATTTTATTGCCAGCCCTTTCTTGATAGCAAAAACCAAGGTCCCCAAATATGAGGCAGGTCCTCCTCACTGGGACAGAGAGGGGGTGGTCTAGGAGTCTGGTGAGTCCCAAACAACAGGTGCCCCTTCCGGCACTTAGTCTTTGGGAACACCTGTCCGGTGTTCCGAAGGCGCCGGGCTGCTGGGATCCTCGTCTTTCAGCCGGCAAGACATTTGATCCATCTGGAGAACAAGTTCCCGGTTGCTCTAGGCGCTCCGTTTACAGTGACGCTGCTGACGGCCCTCGGCTGGGCAGGCGCGGCTCGGCTCGGTTCTGCTCGCGTGTAAGCCTGGCAAGGGGATGCTGAAAAAACTCTTCCTTCAGGGGGAACAAATGGGGAGTAGTTGCAAGGCGGTCTTGGACAATTCAACAAACTGCTGTGAATTCCTTGGGGGAATTCCGGGAGGACCAGGGCTCAGCGTACTCCGAAGGTCCGACACGGTAAGGTCGAAACCGGGGGGGGGGGCGGGGGAGGGCCGGGGGGGGCAGGGGGAGGTACCATTCGCAGCACCCTGGCCCCGAGGGACATCTTCCCTGCCCCAAGCAGCCAATAGCCACCCCGGCTGAGGCCCATGCAGCCAATAACCGACTTCAGCCGAGACTCACGCAGCCAATGGCCGGCCCAGTGCGTTCCGCCGGTCCCCGCCTGCCTACTTCCACCAATCGGGACTCGGGCCACCTTGGCACCGCCCCTGGATCCCGCCCCACCCATCCGCCCCGCCTCCAACTCGCTCGAACAGGGTTGGGCTAGACGGGCGCGCTCTCGGGGACGGGGGGGGCAGTCCCGGTCCCGGCCCTCCGCGCGGGTGGGCTTGGAGCAGGCCGCACCGGGCGGGAACCCCACTCCCACCCCGGAGGCCCCCTGCCCTTTCTCCCCTTTTCCCCCCGGCCCATGGTGCGAGGCTGGGAGCCGCCGCCCGGGCCGGACTGCGGTGAGTGATCCCCAGCCCCTTCGACTTCCCCTCCTAGCCCCTATACGATCTCCGACCTCCGGATCCCCATCCCCACGCGGAGGGGGGGGGGGGGTGTTGGAGAATTCTAGGCTCTAAGTCGCCCGGTTCTCTCTTTCTCCTCTGGACTTTTCGGTTCCCTGTTGTAACTGGGGGAGGGTGAGTGGGTGTGTAGGGAGGAGGGGAAGGCTGGGTTGGGACGCCCTCCGCGAGGGGAGGTTAGAGATTCGCCTACTCCCTGGGGCTCATCGCCCCAAGTGCAGCAACTTTTTGTTCTCTGACCCAGTTTGGAGCCTTGTAGACTGCCTGCGAAATGGAGGATAGGAGAAACGTTTCCTTCCCAGGCCTCTCCTCCTCCCCCAACGACTACCTCCTGACGACCTCAACACACGTACAGAAATCTGACCTTACTTCTGGGGAGCAGTGGTCTTTGGGAATGAAAGGTTTGGGAGAAACTGCCCCTTCTGACCCCCTACCCAGCCATACTCAGAAAACAAACCAGAAAAGTGAAAACCCGAATCCTGAGAGGTTCCTGGTTTTGCGTCCTAATCTGAGACTTCTAAACTGAAAGAAGACTCAAGCTGAGACCTGTTTGGTAATGTGGGCCCAGATCAGGAGATCTTTTATCATGTGAACCTCCTTCTCACCATACATTTGAAGCCCTTTTATATTATATGACTAGGACAGGTAGAAGGCAATGATTGAAAAAAAAAACAAAAAAGCCAGTTAAACTTGGGAATTTTTTAAATGATGCATACATATCTTAAGCATTGTCATTAAAAGTATGTTCGTTGCACCAATCTTTTGGGGTAGTGTCCAGGCGTTTTCTTTGTGTAAGTCTGCTCATTAGAGTTCCCAGTTGTCTTTCTAGTATAAACTACACAAGTGAATTTCAAATCTGGCTGCACCCTGAGAACTTTTAAAAGTACTGATGCCTGGGCCCCAGTCCAGACTAAGAATGAGGAGGAGAGTTCCTGGTTTAAGTTTCCCAGGTAATTCTAATGTGCCACTGCCTCTCGTCTATGATTTCCAGGTTTGGTGTTTTTTGGTTTTTTAATGCAGTGAGAATTTAAACACTTTTGGAGCAATCTGAATGCAGAATACTTTTGAGATTTTTAAGTCCCCTGCCCCTCCAATCTTTTACAGTTGCCTACTGCTCCCAACTCAGCTGTACACTCCTTAACATTTGACTTTGTTTTCATAGAAACAATTTTTAGTGCACTAATTTTTCATAGGTTTCTGTGATATTTAATTACATTATTATATAAATTAAAAAAAAAAACAAAAAACCAGACATAAACAGGTTGGGAATCACACACAACTGGTCCAGGCACACAGGGCAGCTGAAGGAAGCAGATGATTTTGGCCCACTAGAGAGTAGCCTACCAGCCTCTAGTACACAGCGCACTGTGGGTGTTGGTCATATAACCCAGTGGGTCAGTTAAGCCAGGCTCCTGGCCCAATTGAACACCTCTCCCTTCCACTCTCTCCAACTAATATCACCAATACCCAGTCCCTTCTAGACTTAAATTCTCTTGAGTGTTGCATCCACTCTCCATTCAATCACATCAAGCTGTATGTTCCTCTTTAAGCAATTACCATCACTCCTTTTTTTATTAAGTTGGCAGAACATAAGGCAGAGGTTCTTAACTTGGGCTTCTGGGCAGCCAGTGAACCTTCTGAGATTATATATATAATGTGTAAGTTTAGATGTTTATGGGGGGGTAGTCATAACTTTCTGAGGGTGCATACCTTTATCTGATTCTCAAAGTTCATGACCCAAAAAGTTGAGAAGCACATAAGTTGAATACCACTCAAAATTCTTTAAGGCCCTTAAAACTGTATCATCAAAACACATTTCAGGCAGTACTTCAATACTTCTCCGAATAAAGATAATAGGGTAATTTTGCAGGATCATTAGTTTCTCATTTGAACTACCTCCTGCTTTAACCATAAGTCTAGGCCCAAGCCTAAAGTTGTGAACACCTCTTTTTCCTAGGATTGTATGTACACCTAGACTGGAAGTTTAAGGTAGTCCATTCTTTTCTGCCACCTGTCCACGGGTATGGAAAGCCCAAAGGGAAAGAAGGGTGTTAGCCTCTCTCTGTTTTTCTCATTATGTTTTTTATTAGCTACTTTTATTAGCTACTAAGTAGCAGTAGGGTATATCCAGCATATTTAATAAGGATACAAATTTAGTAATTATTCAGAATTGGTAATCCCACCATCACTACCACCTCTGCCCATAGGAGTCCGTCCTTCTACAGTTTTGATTCCCTTCTTTTTCTACCCTCTCCAAATGGAGGCATAAGAACACAAGATACCATAGTGTCTTCATTGTGGTTTTGATTACTGTGGAGTCTACCCTCCTTGTTAAAGTTCTCATGAGCCACTCTGTGGTTGTAGTTTCTTCCTACGTCAAAGCCAGATTCTTCCAGGGAGGTACCAGGTAGCTATACAGCTGTGCCCTGATTTAAGCCACCATTCTATATCAGGAAATCTTCCACAATTTGTTTTGTGTAATTGGAAAACTGGATGTATAGAGTACACCAAATACGGTATTTGCATTACTGCATGTTCTACTGAAACATCAAACCGATACCACGAGAATCTGGAGGATAGCAAACCACATGAAAGAAGGCAGAATGCTTCCTTGTAAGGCTTATAGCTATGCCTGCCTTATTTCCTGTCTGGAAGTCTCCATCCTTAACACTGGACTGCTTTATTCCTTAGGCTACAGTTTTCTCTTATCTAAAGTATAATTGTGTCCTTAAAAAACAGGACACAAATAAGGTTAAGTAGATGTCAAGTGTTGCAATCCTAAAGGATTCTCCAGCTTAGGTTTGGTGGTGTTCCTGGTGGGCCACAATGTTTAAATGGTGGTTTAGCACCTGTCTGTGCAAGTTTGCTCACAGGCCACTCAGCTGTGTCTGGGATAAACCTGGAACTACTAATACATTGGCAATTCATCTGGCAATCAAAAAGGATTTATATCTAAATTACGGATTCAGTTGTCCTAAAGCTGTGATTTTCATACTTCCTTTAAAGCAGCATAATCCATTCTGGAATTATATCCAACTCCCAAAATGTAAAGAGCATAAAATCATGGATACCCTGGTTTCCTCTACTGCTCGTTACAATTAGGACCCTGCAAAAAGAGATTGAAAACAACGATTTTAAAGAATGTAGTCTTTGCTTCATTTCCCCCCTTGTCTAGGAGGAGAATGGATGGCATTCCCTTATATCAAAATTACCTTGTGAGGCTATAATGAGAAAAGCTGCTATTTAGTGAGCCTTTACTTTGTTCTAGACATCATGTCAACTGCATTTTTTTCATTTAGCCATAAACTTGTGAGGAAGGTGCTGTTTTGACTGCCTTTCTGAGGAGAAACTAAGGCTTCGTGAGGTTTAATAATTTGCCCAAGGACAGGCAGCATTCTAGGAAGGGGTGGAGCTGCACTTAATCTCAAATCTGCCTCCCCCCAGGCCTCCACCCCACCAGCTGCTTTAGGTCTTGCCTAAGCAGGACACCTAGTACATAGTAGGTGCCTGGTAAAAACATATAACTTTACAGACACTTAGCACTGTGCATTTTTTACACATGAAGAAACGAAAGCTCCTTTAAGTTCAGTAACTTGCCCAAGATCACATAGCTGGTAAGTGGCAGAACTGGGATTCAAACTGCACGCTGGCCTTACTCAGGGATCATATTTCTACCCACTGTGCCATGCTGCCTCCATTTACCCTCTTCAGGTTCTCTTCAACTGAAGGATCTGCATGGCCTTCGATTCATTAGACCCGCTTGTTAAAAGGAAATGGTGACTCATTAAATTGCTTCCAAATTTTTCTGATCGTCATATAAAATCCCTTGATACCACACTGTACTATAACTTCCTGGACTTGAGATTCTTCTCAGTTCATCATGTAGCATTTACATAGGAATCCTGTCCCATCCTTAACATATCAGAAGTAAATATTTATAAGCTCAGATGGGATTCCTCTAAGAGTAAAGGGTGACAGATATGTTAGAGTTTCTAATGCCCAGACAGGGAGCTGAGTTAAATTTGGTCAACAGAACTTTCTGGGAAATACCCTGAGCAGGTATTTCAGGAATGATGCAGAATCAGGGGCTCTCCCTGCAGCCCCCACACCCACAGCCCAGGAGCAGTGGTGCTGCTGGGAAGCTTGCAGGACCTGGCTGCAGTTCATAGTGAATCTGCCCACCTGGCCCTGAGAAGAAAGCTGGGCTGCAGAGATAAGACTGGCAGGCCTTCCGCCCTGTGTGGAGGGGCTATTACAGTCTGAGGGAGCTCTCCAGACTCCCCGGAGAGAGATTGAGCTGTTGGAAGAGACAAAGGCTGGGGGGAGGGGCTAACCTTTGTTCCAAGGATGACTTGGTGGAAACAGTTCCCTCTCTCTACCCCCACAGGACCTCCAAACCCAGGAGGAGTAAGCCCCACTTATCCCAGATACCTGACCTGTCTCTTACCCTACAGAGAGAAAATAAAGCTTAGCAAGTTTGAGTTTAGGCTTAAAGGCACTATCATTCCCCTCCCTGAAGGACTCCATCACCAAGAAGGGAAGAGGAAAGGGGCCTGGGGGCTGGGCAGAGGAACAGTGCTGTCCTGCCTTCTAGATGCTCCTCTCTCGTACCTGTCCCTCTGCCCCCCGCCCCCCCGCCCCATGTTCACATTCTAGAGGTAATCATAAATTGTCAGGAGTTAAAGCATTTGCATCAGTTCTGAGATTACTGCACTCTATGTTTTTGTGGTTGATTTTTTGTTTTGTGACACCTGTTCCATGAACTTAGAGGATGAAGTGAGTTTGAATTAGAAAAATAAAGGCAATATAAGGATGAATTTTCCTCCTTAACCTTAAAGACAGATTTTTGTCCTGGTGACAGTATTCAGGAGTCATGTGACTTGGGGTAATTTAACTTCTATGGACTTTGGTTTTTCCATACATATGACAGGAATTATATAACAGGCTCATAAAGTTAGGAAAATTAAATGAGAAATCGTTAAAGCACTGTAAAAGCAATCCAACATGGTACACATAGACAGTTGATTGTATTGGAGTCCAGCATTTTGTTTGGCAGAAATTGAACAATGGGCTGAAAGAGGAGCTCCAGTGATTGAGCTGTTTCTCTTCTTATTACAGCTATCTCTGAAGGGCACAAATCAGAAAGCACCATGCCTCCTAATAAAGAGGCCAGCAGTCTTAATAGCTCCCCGGCGGGGCTCATCTGCCTCCCTCCAATCTCCGAGGAGCTACAGCTTGTGTGGACCCAAGCAGCCCAGACCAGTGAGCTGGATGGCAATGAACACTTGCTACAAACCTTCAGCTACTTTCCCTATCCCAGTCTAGCAGACATTGCCCTTCTCTGCTTGCGCTATGGGCTGCAGATGGAGAAAGTCAAGACTTGGTTCATGGCCCAGCGCCTCCGCTGTGGCATTAGCTGGTCATCTGAAGAAATAGAAGAGACTCGAGCCCGAGTGGTCTACCATCGGGACCAGCTCCATTTCAAATCCCTTCTCTCTTTTACTCATCATGCAGGGCGGCCCCCAGAGGAGGTGCCTCCTTCTCCGATGCCACCTCCAGAACAAGTGGGTCTTGGAATAGTGCCCCTGACTCTTAGTGAGCCCACCCAGATGAAAGGATTGAAGGTGGAGCCTGAGGAGTCCTCAGAGCTGCTGAGTCACCAGAAAGCAAAGGAACCCCTGATGGCACCTGGCAGTGGGACATTCCCCCACCAATCCGATTATTGGCAGAATCTTCAAAGCAGTGGCTTCTCTAAGGAGCAGGCAGGCAGGGGTCCCAACCAGTCATATGGCCTAGGTTCTGCTTCATGGAATCACTCCACAGCTGTCCACCAGCCACATGCTCGGGATAAGCCCCCACCAATCTCACTACTTGCTAGTAGTTGTAAGCAGGAGTCAGCATCTAATATGACTCCTCCTTCTTCCTCTACCTCTTCTTCCACTTTCCCGGTACTGGCTAACGGAGCTACTGCCACCTCTAAACCCCTCCAGTCACTGGGCTGTATCTCACAGCCACTGTCACCCAATGAACAGGCACTGCCCCCACATCTGGAGCCAGCCTGGCCCCAAGGGCTAAGACATAACTCAGTATCAGGTAGGGTTGGCCCTGCAGAGTACCTTTCCCCAGATATGCAACGCCAGCGAAAGACCAAGCGCAAAACCAAAGAGCAGCTGGCTATCCTCAAATCTTTTTTTTTACAGTGCCAATGGGCACGGCGTGAGGATTACCATAAATTAGAACAGATCACTGGCTTACCTCGACCTGAGATCATTCAGTGGTTTGGTGACACACGCTATGCCTTGAAGCATGGGCAACTAAAATGGTTTCGGGACAATGCAGTACCTGGTGCCCCTAGTTTCCAGGACCCAGCAATTCCCACACCCCCACCTTCAACCCGCTCCTTGAGTGAATGGGCTGAGACACCACCTCTGCCGAACCCCCCACCCCCACCGGATATACGACCCTTGGAGAGGTACTGGGCAGCCCATCAACAGCTACGGGAAAGTGATATCCCTCAACTGAGTCAGGCATCAAGGCTTAGCACCCAGCAGGTACTGGATTGGTTTGACTCTCGACTACCTGAGCCAGCTGAGGTGGTGGTTTGTCTAGATGAAGAGGAGGAAGAGGAGGAGGAAGAACTGCCAGAAGATGACGAGGATGAAGAGGAGGAGGAGGAGGAAGACGAGGATGATGATGATGATGTGATCATACAGGACTGAGTCGGGGGGACTAGGGGAGGGAAGGTCTGTTACTAAAAGATGAACCAACTTAGTAACTGTTTAAACAAAGAAACCACATTTTTTTAAAATTACCTTGTGGCAAAGAACTGAAAAGCTTCGTGTTCTTGAGGTTGGGGAATCCGGGATGTAGTGAGGGTGGACCAGGGAGGATGACCATAGGACCCAAAGAGAGGTGGGGATTGGATGAGCAGAAATCAGGCCTCTCGTCTCAATGAAGAGAGTGCTAAGGATCTGGTCCAAACCATGGGTTGGGAAAAGGCTTTTGCTCTCTTCGTGTCTGCTGTTCTTTTCCCTTAGTGTACTATGGAGAGCCCGGACCTTGGTCCCACATCTGTAAGAGGACTGAAAAGGAGGAGTAAAGAATTTTGATTCAATTGATGATTCCAGTGCATCCCCAGTCCCACCATTTTCCCTGGAATGTAAGGCTGCCTCACACCCCTTTTCTTTATGAGCACGAGTCCATGCATAATATAGCTAAGAGTCTTTGTATGTCCCAGTCTCATCACAAATCTTTCCTTAACGCACACCAACTTAGACTATGTTTTACCTTCCTCGTTACAGAGTTGCACAGGTAGCAGAATGTTTTCATTTCTGATACTGGGACCATTTTGCCTTGTACTTTTTTTTTTTTAATCTTTTTCCAAAATCCCCATTCTGTTCACTATTTGTCTCAGGGTAAATCTTCCCCATGGAGCTTGTGAAAAGTTTAATAATTGGGTGGAGAATAATTTAGACTGGATATTTATTGGATGTGGGAATTAGGGGAAATGTCCTTTAAAAAAGTAGAATTAGGTTGGAGAGGGATGGTTTCTACTCTTCAGAAGATGGGTGCAGGTAGGTTCCAGGTTTGGTTTTACAAACCTGAAACTCCCTCCTGCCTAGCTTGACAGAGACTAATTTTTCATCTTTTTGGTGTTGGTTCAATTTGTGTCTGTAATTGAGACTTTTTCCTCTCTTTATAGGATCTGTCTTGGGGACAGAGGGACCCTGGTCTTTAACTGAATTGATTATTGATGTTTTAGAATGGTTTTCATCAGATGGAGTCAGATATAAAGAGATCAATGGGTTAACCATCTAGAAATAAGAATGGAAGCCCCAGATTGCTAGAATAATAATAAAAGGCCACAAATAAAATTGTTTCTCTCTCCTCCACTTTGCCATTTCTATGGTTTAGAGATTAATGGAGCCAAATCCATTAACATTCTGATTTAGTATACTTTTTTTTTTTAAAGCAGCAGGATATATTGAGGTAGATTAGGAAAACAAATACTTGGGGCACCTGGGTGGCTCAGGCGGTTAAGCACCCGACTCATGGTTTTGGCTCAGGTTATAATCTCATGGGTCATGAGATCAGGCTCCACACTCAGTGGGGCCTCTGTGTGAGGATTCTCTCCCTCTGTCCCTTCCCCCACTCGCATGCGTGCGCATTCTCTAAAATAAATAAATATATCTTTAAAAAAAATTTAAAAGAACAAAAACTTTAAAGGGCAGTACATCTATATCTATCACTGGGCAGATATTTTTCCTGTACCTGCTACAGCACAGGCTCTTGCCCAGAAGAGGTGTCTAGAAATGCCTTTAAAAATAAATTCAGAGTTCCAGAAAGAGTAGGGAATCCTAGTTCAGCTTCAGGGTCATTCCCAGGACCTAATTTATTTCTGGCAGATGTTTGCTATCTTTACACTTTTTCAATATTTTTGCTTATGGCCTGCCTGCCCGTGGCTGACCCACTTAACTTCTCATTTCTATTTAGTACCCGAAGAAGAATACAGGTTTCATGTCAGTGGTGGTGGTCTTTGCCCATTCCACCATTCGAGAGCTTAGAATATAAAACCAATGCAATAACAATAAAAGGACATCTTTATTTTATCTATATACTTTAGTAAGCTGAAAGTCTGGGTCTCTGACAGAAAGGAAAGTCAACATAGTTAACTAGGAATAGAGGAAACAATAGGCAAACAGAAGTATGATAAATTAGGACACGGAACAGAGTTGTTGCTTATTAACACTGGCAATGGAAGAATATATCCAATGCTAAAAGAATGAAATATAGAAATAAACCATACTTAATATTACCTCTCACCCCCAGTGATGCCAAGAATTGTTTTTACAACCTTTAAGTTGCAGGAAATGAGAGAGCTACATGAGTGTGGGAGAGATCTAAACATCCTCCTGAAGTACTAGCCTTATATAACACCTGACCATTTTCCTAGGAGGTAATACAGAGTGTATATGGTAAAGGTCAAGAGAAGTAAGGGTACACAGTGAAACCAGGAAACAAGGCAGGGAAACATTTTCCAAGGCCATCACACTTAATGGGTATTGTATGCTACAGGTCTTCCTTAAGCAATATGTATAGATCAGACCTTGAAGACGATCTATCTGGAAATAGTCCATGCTTCTCTTGACCTGGCTAATCCCATCTGTCTCTGTTCGTAGAGAGTCTGCAGCAGAGGGCAGGAAGGCAGATATGGGCATTTATAACAAAAAGGGTAATTAAGGCCCTCTCAAACCATTACATGAAGTTTATCAAAAGATAGCACATCACCAGTGCTGCTGCCCCAGTTTTCTCCACTGTGTGATAACCAACTTTTCCAAACTAAGATTTGATACACCTAGTGTGACAAAGGCTTTGTTGCTAATTATGAAACTCTCTAGAACATTTTAGTGGCTTATGGTAATAAGGCCAGAATATTTAAACAAAACTATTTTGGAAGACCTGGGGAGGAGACTGGAGACCTGGAGACTATGCCGATAGACGATTACCAGCGAGGCAGGATTCTTATGCCTCTGGGGAGGTTGTACTTGTTTAATAACTTTTTTTAAAACTTTATTATTGAAATTTTCAAAAAATACGAAAGTAGAGTAGTATAATGAGCTGATGAGTATCCATCACCCAACTTTAACAAATAACTCCTAGCCAATTTTTTTTCATTTCTACTCTCTCTGTCCTATGTCCACTAGATTATACTAAAGCAAAACCCGGACAATCATTTAACTTCCTATCTTTAAACATTTTAGTATGTTATCTCTAAAAAAAGACTATTTTTAAAAACGTAATCATAATAACCATTATGCCTACAAAAGAAAACTATTAACAATTCCTTAATAGCAAATATCCAAGAGGTATTCAGTTTTCAACTTTCTTATAAATGTTTTTGTTTTCGTTTTTTTACAGTTTGTTTCAATCAGGATCCAATTAGGGGCCATATATTTGTAGATGGTTTATATGTCTCAATTCTTTTTTCATCTGTAGGTTAATCCCTCCATTTGTGAGGATCTCAGGGATGTTATTTCCCCAGTGGTGCCTCTTAGGGCTTAGATCCTAATTTTTTGCCAATGAAAATAAAGGGCATTTGGAATATGAGAGCAAAATATTTACCTACCTTAGGATGTCCTTGGGGTCACCAGGAGCTTGGCATTGAAAAAGGGCCTAAATATTCTCAAAACCTGGGCCATAAAAGTTAACTTAAAAGGCAAGACTGGACTTTTCATGTAGAGCTTCTTACAAACCTCTCTTCTCGTTCCAATGCCCTTTTCCTCTTGTTGCCTACGTTATATCAATCCCATAAATTTATAAAGCATTATTCTAACCATCTCTAGAGACATGCATGTGGTTTTTCCCTGTTCAAGCAGTACCTCTGCCCAAAAGATATATTCCATTGAAATACTTTTTTGTGGAACTTTTGGGAATGTTAGTTGTGTCTACACACTTAGTTCACACTGGCCAGGACCTCTCAGTTTAAATCCATTCACTACCATGTGACCTAATTTTTAAACCCCAAACTAGGAAGCTAATCTGATAGTAGGATAGAATCTTTGAAATTGAGACCATCCTGGAAGATTGTGAACGTATGATTACCACATTTGAAACCCTTGTCATTCTCCACTGGTTATATTCCACCACCTTAACAGGTGACCAAAAAGGCATTCTGTGCAGGCCTAACCATGTGAGTTTTTCACATGCAGGCAAATTAGATTAGCCAGGGCTCACCTGCTGGACTGGTAGCTGGAAACCAGAAAGACTCTCTAGTGGGGTTCTGCTTTCCCTCTGACCTGGAGGATAGAATTGGAATGGTGAAAGTTAACTCCCTTGGGCAGTTCTTTGGCAGTGTTACTTATGGGTCAGGGTAAATAAGTAGGTCTTAATCTGTAGAACACTACTCAGAAGGAAAAAGACTTGGCTAAGCAATTTAGGAGGTAGGTTATAAAGTTCATTCTTTTCCTAACTTCGTTTCACCTTGAAAATCTTCATTTTAGTATATATGCCAATGGTTGAAGCTCCATTCCTTCAGGAATGTTATTTAACATACCTGAATTGTTGGGGGTGAGAACTCTTGTGTGGCCTGAATCCCCACCATTTAGGGATGGTCTGAAAGAAAAAATCCCCTGTCCAGAAGAGGCAGGTGAAGGCCTACGGAGGGGAAATAGAAGCATCAGCAGAGAAAAGGAAGGTAAAGGTAAAAAGCATATAGAAGGGGAGAGCCTATATATTTGGACAAGACAGGAAATAAATACCCTGCTTGCGACTGAAAGTAATCTGGACATATATAAGACACAGTACTATTAAATGCTCTCTTGTTTACAAGGTAGATTTATAAACTTCAGTGGTATAAGCCAGTAGAAAAGTAACCCCAGGGTGCTGGCAGAGTGTCAGTGTGAACAGATCCCCAGTGAAAGGAAGCATAATTACTTACCTGTAAGATAGGCTGTGAGTAGAAGCTGGTGAAGGGGTTTCTGGAAAACATAAAAATGAGCCTGTGAGATAACCCATGAACTGGAGAAGAGATTCATTCAGGTATACTTGGGACCTGGGCAAAGAAACTGGGGACCAAAGATTTTCAGTATATATGTTAGGCTTAAGGGCTAATAGCAAGTGAAAAAGCTCACAAATCACCTAGCAGTGTCTCCTAAAGTTGCTTTCCTCTCTCTCTCTCTCCTTTTTTTTAAAGGTTTTATTTATTTTGAGAGAGAGCGCACAAACAGGGGGAGGGGCAGATGGAGAGGGAGAAGCAGACTCCCTGCTGAGCAGGGAGCCCCATGTGGGGGCTCAATCCCAGGACCCCAGGATCATGACCTGAGCTGAAGGCAGACGCTTAGTGGACTGAGCCACCCAGGCCCCGCATCTCTTTCATTAATTTGTGCACCAGGATTCATTACTGCTTGGATGTGCTCTAATATATCTGTGCTTTCGTTTCCCCTCTAAGATGGGGATTACCAGAAAGAATGGCTAAAGACAAAGGGTCATTAAATTGGTTAGGAGTGACAGCAAAAATGATGGCATAAGGACCTCCAAAAGTTCTTTCCATAAAAGGAATGAGAAAACTGGCAAAAATTGTCAGAATCAACTTTTTCAGAACTCTGTAAATTAACAAAGGGCTTGCAGCAATCTAGGGAATGTTTATTCCAGAAAAATAGCCAAATGAGGTTAAAAACAATGAACTTTGTGGCATTTTAACTTGCCCTATTCCCATTTCTCCTCCAGCTCCGTGGTAGCCTTGAAAACCAACATTCTGGCAGTCATCGCGGGGATGAAATGGGGTTGGAACTCTTTCAAAGCCTCATTCCCAGAAAATAATCATTTGACCCATCCAGTGGCAACTGGAAGACTCCACTTGCAAGGCTGCCTTTATTTGACCTGACCTGGAGCGCAAACTCATCAGGAATTGATGCTTAGAGTTTACCACCTGTGAAAAGCCTTCTCCCCAGGAGTGTTTGCTGTAAACAATTACAAGCGTTTGTTTGGGCTGCCTGAGAATGTGCATATCAATTGGGGCAAATAATAGGCTAATGGGAAAGCTTAGATGAAGAGATGGGGAATGAGTTTTTGGTGGGGACTCTGAAAACAACACATTCTTAGGATCTAGACCATATGCATATACAGGACTGTATGCATGCTCAGAGAAGACCTGAAAAGGCCCCAGTCTCTTACCGTGAGGTCATACAAGCAGGTTGAAGGCTAAGGCACAGTTGTCAATTGCCTGGCTAAGTGCTGAAAGTGAACCCCAACACACACACACAGAATCCCTCAGCAAAGACTGAGAGACTTACAGGTTCAAAGTGTTTAAGGGATCTCTGTCCAATCATTAGCTGACCACTAAACTAACTGAATAGAGACTTTGGTGGCTCCACATGACAATACAGATT